CATCATTTCCTCCATCGCGGTGAACTTCCCCTCTAACCTTTCATTGTTGGAGGTGATTTGATTCTGAAGGTTGAAGATCTTTCCTCCAAATCAGCTTTCAATTGGCCGACTTCGCCTTCCAAGACGTCAACCTTCTTTCCGGCCATCTTTCTTCCCAACGGATCTCAAAAATATCACTTTCGGAAGCCAAAAGCTCGCTGAAAAATCATGATTTCAGCCGCCTAAGGTCCCAAAAACGACGCTCTGATACCAATTTGATAGGAAACACTTGTAGATCTCAAGTATTTTCTATCGATCTTCGAAAAAACAGTGAGAACAGTGACTGGACTGCTGTCCACAGCAGGAAATCACATAAAAACTGCTGTTTACAGCAGTAAGACAGCAGATTTTAAGAGGAAAACTGAAAGAAAACTAAAAGCGAGACTTGTATTCCACTAGACGATGAATAAAATAGCAAGATACACTTGATCCTCAATTCGAGAGGAGGATCGATCTCTCCCAAATCTCTAGACGCCGCTAGAGCCCAAAGAAACCTAAATCTACGAGATCTCAAATTTCAGCCCAAATTCAAGATGATCAAACCCTAGGAAAATCTATTATTTAATGCATACAAATCAAAAGGAAATCCCTAAACAGTCCCTACATTCAAATTTCCCTCTCAAAACCGTCAAAATTGCTTCCTAAAATGCTCTTCTTGAGTGGACGGCCCGCCCGATCTCCGCCTCCTGCGGAGATTTCGCGTATTACGCGAACTGCCGGTCCCGTGCAGACCGGCTGGACCGGTCCAGACTGTCCAGTGGACCGGTCTAACATCCATCCAACACAATATCCAACATTTTCTTTTGAAATTTACAATTGAATGCACTCAATGGTACCAATGGAGTATCTAAACAACAAAAAAATTAATATAGATAATTACAAGTGGTTTATAAGTAGCAGATTAGATAAGATTTTCATTTTCCTATTCAAACATAGTAGGACACGGGCATTCTACCACTTTAATAGGAAATCAACTTGACAATTTCTACTCATGTCCTAGCTAATTTGTATAAAAGTTAGGATGGCAAAATAACTTTAAAATAAAAAATAAATAAAAAGAATTTGCACATAAATGTTAAGCAAATATCACAATTAAGGGCATATTCGGTTCACAAGCATATGCTATTAGAAGATGTCAAAAATGTATTCATTAACATCATGAAATATCAATTTATAAATGCAACTGTATCCTATTTCAGAGTAAGATGTTCTAGAATCATACGACCTCTGATAACATGACAAGTTGGTACTAAAATAAACCCTCATTATACTTCGCTGCCAAAAAACTATTCTAAACATCCCCACTCGTGAAGCCTCTAGCCACTCTCACTCTTGACTTCACCCTGAACTTCTCTCCCCTAAATGTTGGATGCCTCTCACACCATCCTCTTTGATCTTGAAAGCAAAACATCTTTGCATCAACACTTCTCCCAATCACTTCTCTCCTTCCACGATAGCAAGGAGAAGAGTCTAATTAGACAACGCTCGCCCAATTGAATCTCTCATCCTTCAACACATCTCTCCCATTAAGCCAGTACACCAAAAAACTCTCCATCAAATCCAGTATGTTGAAAATGTCCTTCAATGCAAACCAATTGTATCAATTGCAAACCAAGAATTAGTGATATCTCTCCTCTTCAGCAATAACCAACCAACAGCAGACTTATTTTGCAATCTTGGGAAGAAGTGAATTCTCTCCCTCACCACATCTCCTGTATCATCTATTTCTTATCATCGACTTTGTAGACATCAGTTGTCAAGAGAATCGACCAATCTGGTTTTCATCACCAGTTGCTCCCCTCCTACGCAGCGGAGCTCATCAAATACAAGAGGATGATCTAACCACAAGTGTGCTAAAATCAAAGATAAGTATGAACCAAATAATTATATAATTTAAATAACACAGACATCTTTACTTTGAATATCATCAAATAGAATACGCAATTTTTGATAGGAAATGTTACCATCTATTTACGCTGACGTTTTAATAACAATAACATCAAAATAATACTGAACCCCCTTAGATTAGTTAAAACGCTTCCTTCAAATACCAACAGATGTCTCGAGATAGGGCAGGCACTATTTACAGCTTAACACTAGGAACTAAAAAGATGGCTGCTAATTTCTATTATATGCCAAACAAATAAGATCTTATAAAATGATATTCATATAGCAAATGTTTAAACAAAAAAATAAGGATGCAAAACCATAATGTAATGATAAAAATCCTTAAATTACTAATAAAATTGATTAAATTAAATATGAAAATAATTTTGCTAGATACTCTATTGACTCAAAAAGACAAGCACTGCAGATTTAAATTAGCTAACATAGATTTCTTTTTTAAAACCTTGAGCATGACCATATTTAGAAGCACAGATTCCTCGCTCCAATTATGTAAAAGATGAATTTAACCTAGAATCTGATTTTCTCACCAAATCCTTTAACACCCTAATCGATAACATTTAAGTTTACCTGGTAAAAGTTTATGTAGATTATTTTCATTCCTTAAAGAGTAATACATCATACGTGCAGGTAGAGTGCATGTGAATTGTTAAGACTCATACTGAATTCAAGCATACCTGCAATGCGTTCATCACATTCTTTAATTAATCGGTTGAATCGAGAATCCCCAGGTGCCAATGAAAGGCCTGCAGTAAGAGCTGCCTTTGCAGTTTGATATTCCTCAAGCTTCATACAAGCATTTCTATTTTAAAGAACATATCTTCTATCAGATATATAAAGCAAATTCAAAAATAACGATTCCATGATCGTTGAATAATTAAAAATTATTCAAAGGTGAAATATTAACAAGAAATCAAATATGAACGTTTAGACGGGATCAAAATAACCATGAAATGGAATAAAATGTACTCAGGGTAGCCAAAACAACCAAGCATGCGAATGCGGCAGATAGATCAAAGATAACGATAACCAGGGAGTTCATCATTTGATCACAGCAAAATATTCTAAAGATAGGTCAGAAGTTAGTTAACTGACTTCACCATAAATTACAATTTAATGTGACAGAATTGCACAGAATTAACAAAATTTATAGACCCCAAAATTTTCTAGCAGCCTATGTCAACCAAAGCAAGAGCAATGGTATGACGTATAACAAAAATTGCTTCGCAGAGGGTCATGCACTTCGTTGTATTATGCATATTTGCATTACCAGATCAGGAAAGTACTACAGCTTAAAGAAATTATTAAGAACCTAAAATACGTTATATAGGCTTATACTTATTTAAAACAACGCATGAATCAGCAACAATGAATAATTTCAAGCTTTCCAAAGCAAAATCTCGGGAATCCCAGTACTAGCAACTTATAAACAACTAAAAGAAAGATCTGCAGACAAATCAATCAGCTGTCCATTTAAATAGATGGCAAACTGGAAAGACTTTTAACATGAACACGCAAACCTCATAACAATACCGAATCAAATAACTTAATAGGATTAATAGCACAGTGGTTAATTGATGTGAAACCAGGAATTGAATTTAGAAACTAAATAAAATATTGTTCAAGTGATGAAATTGCAAGCTTAATATTATTCTCAATTGAAACTTTTTAGAGATCTTAGAAGTCGACTATGAATAGGCAAGAGCTTACACCTAAATTAGCGAGATCAATAAAATAACAACGGTAATAAAAGTAAAGCAAATGAAAAGCCAACTAGAATCCCGCAGTTAACAAAGTGATTGTCTCACCTTGAGGCTGCTCTCATTTACCTACTTCTAGGCTTGTTGGGAGAAGAAGAACCACACAAGTGATGAAACCACTCCTAGGGCGATGGTGCCGTAGATCCGTAGGGAAGGAGAGGTCGACGCGGGTCGTGGAGGTGGTGCAAAACGACGGCCTTCAACGATCCACGTGTAGACCGAGAAATGATCGTCGATGGACTCCACTAGAGCTGGTAAGATCCGGTCCAAGTAGTCCTCGACGGTGTCGTCGAAGTCGAAGCCGACGTCGAAGAAGGGAGATCGGAGGATATTCACTCGTCCGCGGTTGTCGTATTCAAACCCGAAATTCCACTCGGGAACCTCCATGCATCCTTGAAGAGGTGAAAGGGTGGTTGCCGCAACTAAATCTCCAAGGAGGAGAGATGGGGGGCGGCGGGTTGTAGGATGGATGGGGAGGCCGGCGGTGGATGTGGGGTGAGGGGAGATGGGTATAGAAAACAAGAACGAAAGCTGAGAATAATTTCAGCTTTGGGGAATTTTGGAGGGGGAATTTGAATTCCAAAGAGAGAGGAATTAATTCCTTAATGAAGCATTAATGGGGGAGAGAGAGAGGAGGCCGGCGGTGGAAGAAAAGAGGGGGGGCTAGGGATTAAACTGAAATTATTTCAGTTTTAATCCAAATACGAAGGAAAATTAATGACTCCTAATTTGAATTTCAAATTAGAATTATGGGAGTTAATGTAGTAATTAAGGGGGAGCATAATGGGGGGCCGGCGGCATGGCTAAGGAGGGAGAGGAACTTATGGAGAGGGAGAGAAGGTTTCCAAATTGAAAATTTGATTGGAAAAATTCTGAGATAAAATCCAAATTAAATCTTAATTTAAAATTTGAATTTATTCGAAAACTTTCCAAAAATAGATTTCCGAATTTGGAAAGAAATTGAAACTTGAAAATCAAATTTCAATGAGGGGTTGAATGAGGAGGTGGAGTGGTGGTGGCGGGAGGGGAGAAGGTCGTCGGTGAGGTGGTGGGCGGCGGTGGGATGCTTGGCCGGCGGTGGGGAAAGCCCTAGGGGTCGGCGGCAACAGCAAAGGGGTAAAGGGATTTTGGAAGAGCTCTCTAGTAGGAAGAAAATTATGCAAATCAATTAAAAGAAAAAAAGATAATTAGAGAACTCACTAAGAGATCTCAATGGAAGCACTCACCAAGAGAACTTCATGCACTCACAAAGAGAACAAAGCATGGAAATTTTCATTCATTCAATAATTCCAAATACAATGACAAAAGCCCTTTATATAGGCTGACAAAAATAAAATGCATAAAGACGAAAACGCCTTTGGGCTACAATAAGTACTACTTCCCTCATAGGGGTACAAAAGGAAAGCATGAAATAAACATCATGAAAAGAAGAAACTAAAGCATAAAAAATAAAGGCTCTGAATCAAGGCCGTCGATCGTCGTCCCCGGCGATGGTACACATGTCGAAATCTGATGCCCTCATCATTAATCTTGACGGAGGATAATTTATATTCGGCCATAATTTCTTGGCCTGATATGAGATAGAATTAAAGCATCTTAAATATCCCACGATCAATAAAAGAATGTTCACTCATCTACACTAATCTCTCACAAGGAGAAACCTTGGAATAAGGGAAAATAACATCGCTTGTGACAAGTTACCAGCACAGAAAATAAAAGTACGTACTAATCTCTCACAAGGATGGAACATTGAATAAGGGGAAAGAAACAAAAAAAAGGACACGAAAATTGTTCAACTTCGGACTCAACGCTCATTCACCAATGCAAACAAAATAAAAGTATAGAGAGATAAATTCCACGAGGGGGCATTTGGCTCTATTAAATGTGAAGATAATGTTTTCAAAAGTGCCAAATGAATTGAAGAAAATATGATTTTTTTATTCTTGCATGCCACCAATAGCTCGCATAATCGAAATGGGTGCCAAAAATATAGTTATGCACTTGCAAATTTATTTTAATTATGAGGAATAGTTTTGAGAATATAGCTAAATAGATCATTTTAAACTACCACAATTAAGCTACTTTAGTTTGTAGCATGTATTATTTGGAGATAATTTAATATTGACTATCTTCTCTTTCATGGGGGGATTAAGCCTTCATCTTTCTTTGTTTCCTTGAAATCATTCTGTACATCTTCAATTTTTAGAACTTGATAACTTAAAAGTTCATGCAACAACATTTTATCAACTTGTTTTCGAGTGCTCAGACTTGTTTTTCAATTGTATATTTATTTTAATAGTAAAACATGGTTTGGAAAATATAGCTAAATAGATCATTTTAAACTAGCACAATTAAACTACTTTAGTATGTATAATGTATTACTCTGAGATAATCTAATATCTACTATCTTCACTTTCACAGGGTTAATAACCCTCCATCTTTTCGTTTCTTTTATTAAAATCATTCCCTTCACTGTCAAGTTTTAGTACTCGTTAAGTTCATGCAATTACAATTAATCAACTTGCTTTCAAGTGCACATACTTGTTTTTTCCAACTATTGATGTTATTTTCACATTATCATGTGTCAAAGTTATCATCAACAAAAATTAGTTCATATTCAACATTTTTTAAGTATTAGCACTCATCTCTCAAATCAAAGCCAGGCGCTTGTCTCACTATCTAGCATCCTAAGGCAAAGTGATATAAGCATTAGTAATGGTGCCTACCTACAATATGTGTAAGGAGCTATAGTTTCTATTTTCCTTGTTTAAACACCCAGGCAAAAACATGGCTTGCCTTTAATAATGGCGTAATAACAAGACAATTTTTTTCATTTAGAGTAATTTGCTATACTATTAAGAATCATAAGAAAATTTTAGACGGCAGAAATATCATAGGAAACTCTATAGCAATCTCATGTGCGCCCCTCTATGGCATATCTAATGCATGCAGTTTCACTGATAAATTTGTGAAGTCGTTAATTATGTGATTCAAAACAATGACCTTAAGAACAATGTAAACAACTTGACCATTGCTTCAGGGCCACCCTTTATATGCTTCCTCTATGCATATTAAAAAATGTCATAAACCATTTAGCTAAAGCTATCTAAGAATTTCGACACTAAAGTTGATGCATCATTCATTTGGCAAGAGCATAATCTATGTGAGCTTGTGCAATCAAATTCTAATATGTGCACTCTTTTGAAAAATAAAATAAAGATTTTGATGTATCAAAAAGTTGTCTATCTGATATTGGTAAAGAAGCAATGAACCATGCACTCTACAGTAATGACAGGGAACATGCTTACTATTTCACTCCAACAGAAATGCATCTTAAGATGGAAGATGGTAACAAGCAGTCTAGTGCAAATTAAAATGCAAGATGCAATGCTCCTCTTAAGGTTACTTCAAGGTCGAATTGGACTGGCCAATTGTTATTAAAATCTTTTACAAGACAAATTAAATCAACTAGTTCAAATGTCCACCAAAGCAATGCCCAATCCAATTGGACTGAACAAAATCAAGAAATATTGAATAAAGAACATCAGCCAAAGACTATAGAACTAATTGGTAAAACCAATCAACTTGATAAATCAGATGGGTATGCTATACACTTCATTAATCTTTCAATAAGCACAGGAGCACTCAATATAAACTTGTGTCAGCAAATTTAAATGTGTTGTTTCTACATATAATGCCAAATAAAAATTAATGAACTAGAAAAGTGTTTCTCCCCAGCGTGGTTAGACAGGTAAGGAATTATGTATTCTAAATGAAAGAGAGGATCATAGGCCTGCCATTTCACTCCATAAGAGAGGTCTTCGAGATGATCGTAAGAAGCAATCAACAAAAAAATTTCAATGCAAGATGCGGTGCAGCCAGAAAGATCGACTCAAGTTTGCATGAGAGCTCGATGCTTAAACTAGATTAGATGACAATGATCACTCATGTCAACCACCAAAAGGGTTTACAAAAATAAAATGTCAATAAAAGTACAGAATTGCAAGCCAATGTCTAATCATGCTGGCTAAATGGAAATAAAACAAAATGAAGCAAGTAGACTAGCCAAACCTCATTGAACCATATGGCCAAACCAAGAGACTCAATTAACAAGATTCGCAACTCATAACTTCCTGAGACCAAAAATTGAGGATATGTAATTTTATTTCATCATCTTCACCTTCATATTCCCCCTCTTGCTCAACTCTCCACCAACCCTTCCCCTCCATTCCTAACTAGGAGTTGTTGCTTAACTGAATGGTGTATGCAATCAGAAGAGGAGGACAAATATCAAATGTAAAGCTCTTTACAACCATGCTAGACACCAAAACAGCCCTACCTCACAGTTATTCTCGTCCTCTAATTACAAAACATTTTTAATGGATTCCACATCCTCAAATATTTCTTACAATGATTTAATAAAGTCCTCAAGGAATGCAGATATAAAATCACATATCAATCTTCCACTTAGGGGTGTCAATTTCGGGTCACGGGTCGGGTTCGGGTCGAACCCGAAACTGACCCGGCACTATTCGAGTCAACCCGAACCCGACCTGTTTTTGAAAACGGGTCAGTTTTCCTGACCCGAACCCGACCCGCTTCGAGTACGGGTCAACCCGACATGAACCGAATGACCCATTTCAAAAAAAAAATTGCTAGTTTTCGGGTAAAAAATGGGTCTATCTCCTCTTTTTCGGATAAAAAACGGGTCAATCTCGGGTTGCCGGGTCAAAATCGGGTTTTCAGGTCAAATTCGAGTCAATTTCGGGTCAAATGGTTAACTCCACCCGATTTTTGAAACGGGTCGAAATGTTGAACCCGAATCCGACCCGTTTCGGGTTCCGGTTGACCCGAACCCGAAATTTTTGGGTCGGGTTCGAGTCGGGTTTTCGGGTCGTGTCAAATATTGACACCCCTACTTCCACTTTATCTCCACCCACTTACTCAAATCTCCCCAAAAACCTTACATCGCTGACAGCAAGCTACTGCATGGCCAAATGGTGAGTACAATCACCAAAAACCAAAAAAAAAAAAATCAGTAAAAAGTTTCTTATTAACCATGCCAACGACACCAAGAATAGTCCCCACTCATGATGATTCTCCTTGTTCAACTCAAATTTTTTTTTAGATTCCAAATCCTCAAAGAACATTTACAAAGATTCAGGGGAGATCCATCAAAATCACCTTCCAATCCCAAGTCCAAAAAAGACCATGGCAATTTCAGTTCCAAATCATCAATGATACTTTATCTTTATATAAATGCTCTATACAATATAAGATATGTAATTTTTATAAAAGATGGGGTTTAGGCTTGGACAATTGTTCATGAGCATTTATAAAGTTTATAAAAAATTGCTACATAACAAAAGTTTTTAATTTTTATACATTGGTTGGTGTTTGGACCTTGATGACAGATCATGCTGGATAGACATGGGCAATCTCTCTCTCAATCGCACTCTCCCTATCAATTGGGTCTTGGATGTCACTTCCTACTACATCAATTGCAGGTCGTGTTGGCAGTTGGTGTTTGTGATGATTAGTTCATTCCTATAGTGAACATTCATTGATTCATGAACAATGATGAAATGCCAGCAATGAAAAAAGCTATGAGGTTTAGGGTATGGATAAATTAATAAGCCAAAATATAATTTATATGCAAACTCATCAAGAACAGTAACTTGTCCTATTATTGATCCTTATATTTCAGTTCATTGGAATCTACATTGGAATTAGAAAAACAAATAAAACACAGAGTAAAGAAGATCATATTACTGCGATATCACTGAACTGACCCTTTGCGTAGGTAAGCTTTGACGATTGAAGAATCCAATTCAATGGCTTTGTTTGCATCAGCAACAGCTTCTGCAATGTTAAATAAGAAGAACCATGTTCAGTTCAAGCCGTAAAAGGCTAATACACTGTGTGGTTAATGATAAAAAAGGGAGGGCAAGGAAGTGCCACTTCCACAAACAAAATATAAATATAAACTAAATGCTATCGGGTTCAGTAAAAGAAACAATCCAGCAAAAGTTTAGATCTTCAAAGCACATGCAGCTCCAAATATCATGATGCAGTGAAAGCCCTGCTCCCAGCTGTCTAGATTGCACAGATGGAGAGCAAATAGGATAAATGCAACAAAGCACAACATTAAGATGGTTGAATGGATGCAAGTAGGATTTAACAAATCCTGCAAATCAGGATTTAGTCAATCCCGAGACTTTTAAATCGTGAAAATTGTTTGGCATGGCAGAGTTTAAATCTGATTAAATCTTGGTGAACTGTTTCGCTACTTACTGCAGTATTTAAGTCTATTAAATAAAATGAGATTTTAATGATACCAATTTGCTTGTGCCTTGTAGTATTTAGAATTGATTAAAATTAGTTATTGAGATTAATTTTTTTGTATCAAATTACTAATACTAATTTAAAAATCTGTTATTAATCATAATGAGATTAATTAAATCATATTATTATAAATTAATATCCCAATTCATAATTAATTAATGAAATATTGCTACAAGATAGAGGAGCTTTGTGTTGATATCCATCATCATAGAATAGCACACAATTATATCATCTTTCATTCTAATTATGCTATCAAATTATTTTCTACTATACTTTGAAAAGTAAATGTTAATGACAATTCATTGTTTATACATTTTCCGATAAATTGAATTTCTTTATTGTCCAATTGGCTGGTGCTCCTTCCCACATTATTTATTATTGATGTAGCGTATTAACCGAAAAAATAAAACAGATAAGCACAAATAAGAAAAGATGATAGAAGCAACAACGAAGTTGGGAGGGTGGTAGGAGGTATTCTGCTCAGCCATTGCCTGTATCTCTATAATTTCTCTTCTTGTAAGGTTTTGTCTTCCTTTAATCTTTCCTTTTCAAGAAGACAAATGTCTAATTGTGGCACTCAAAGCCGACGGGCTAGCCTTCCGTCGGCTGCCCGCGGAGCTTAAGCAAACGGAAGAATAGATTGTGCTTGTCTCATGAGAAGTCCTCATCTTTCTCCTATCCCCCCTTTCTGAACATATCTTGAAGCGAGCAAGTCACACAACTGGAGTTTGTTGCTAAATCCCCTAAATCTGCCACACTCCAAGATTCCATAAATCCAAGATTTGAGGCAAAATGGAGAAGAAATGGGATTTAAGATTCCCTAGGATTTAAAGTTACCATTTTTGTTGCCCAATAAGTAGTAAAAATCAACAGTGATCGGATAAAGTAGTTTAGACAGTAGATTGCATGATGAATCAGTTGAACTAGTTCAGTTGATGAGTGCATTACCGTAAATATGGTATGCACCAGAGCCAAATTGATATGTTACTTCTATTTTTGTTTACATACCAAATGAAAACAGTGCAAGAAATAGATATTTCAAATCTTTGGATGCTTAGGAGTCAATTCTTGCCAATTTGGTAAATAATCCAAATCAGAAGCCTGATGGAGTCCCTGCCCTCCCACAGCGGACATATTTAGACAAATGAAACCAATAAAGAAGCAGCTACAACCAAGGATAAGAGGCGCAAGGTCAGATAATTCGGTAATTGAACACATGGGTAATCTACCAATCGCAGGGCGTAAGATAATCCAAGAACAAGCAGTGAACAATTAAAGTTATAATTGGCGGTAAAATAAGCAAGCCATCAATTCTGATAAACATTAGTGAAAAGAGCACAAGACGAGGACAGCGCGATTTGGTTTGTTCTAAAAAAGCTTGGAAACCCTGAAAAGAGTATTGGGGGATGGCCAAAGGAGATGAATACCTGTGAAGCTACCAAGTTTAATGTTGGCCTGGGCACGGTCAGCATATAGATCGGCGCTCTTGGGATCCAAGTCCAGGGCTTGCGTGTAGAGATCAACCGCTAGCTCAAAGTTGTCATCAACAAAAGCTTCCTTTGCTTTCTTCTCCAGATCGGTGCTCGCCATAGAAGCCGTCGGGCAAGTAAGTGAAGACGGATCGAAAACCTATTAGCAAGGCGATTAAGATAGTCTACCATACATCCAGGATATCGATATTATTTTACGTTCTAGAGTCTTCTCGCGTAAACTGTTGCGATTATTACTCTCTTTTTTTTTTTTCTTTTTTTTTCCCCTCCTTTAAGTAATGTTTTGCATATGAAAATTTTAAATTTATGTGCCCAATAATATTTGAAATTAGGAAAATTAACATATTAATTATTATTCCATATTTAAAAAGTATATTTAAATGTTTAGTTTGAACTGTTATTCAGTGGAGTTTCACATTTTTTTTGTTCAAATATACATGAATACTATCTTTTTATTATATTTTCCTAATCGTCATTTTGATAAAGATACAGGCTTTGTTTGGAATGAATTTCTTACTGCTTCATAATGCGATTTTTTAGTACAAAAATTAAAATTTGTGTATTAAAAAATTGTTTTAAAAAGCAGTAAGAAAGTTGTTCCAAACGAAATCATAATGTTCTCTAGATGGAGATCAAAAATTGTGTTTCGGTACTTGTTAAAACATATATGAAAATTGTATTATGTTCTTATTCAAATCATGATTGGACAAATTCAAGTGTGACAAATATTATATTATTTATTATTACTCAAATCATATTCAAAATTTCAAATGCTATTTGATGAATAATATACGGCCATGTCTTAACTAATTATATATTTTTAGTTACATCAAAATTAGATAAGATCATGTATTTGAATATAATATGGTCGTGAATAGATAATCGTTTTCAAATTTTATTGTATTCATGTTTGAATTATGTTCTAAAAAATAATGAAGTTATGCATTGATGATATATTTTTATAAATAAAGTTATAAAGAGTTGGGACGATTATCATTGATTGATTGAAGGGGAGTTATAAGAAGTACATTGATTGAGAATTATAAGGGACGACTAACCGTGAGTCATAAGGGTAGGTGCAATATACAAGATACTCCATTCTAAATATCTAATATAATACTAATTATTAATTATTATTACTGCTTATTATTAATGAATACATATATTAATAATATTGTATAACTGATAGACTGATGAGAATGATAAAGACAATGATATGTGATGTGTAATATAGTTGATCAATTGACACATGTGACTGCTATATACAACATATATTGATGTATTGACTTCCTTACATGATTTACATTATATTGTTCCTCTTTTATCTTACATCAATTTCAATTATAAGATTTTAGTTATTTGCTGAGTTTTTATATTCATTACATAATTTTATATGATTGCATATAAAGATAAGGGCTCTGTATCATGAGGTTAGGCAATAATGTGTTTTAGCGTTATTCTATATTTTTCGGTTATATGTATTCTTTTATAGCCAGTGTCTCATACATATTATTTCAGTCTCAAAATTTTGTAGTAGACTGTAAATTTTAACCATAGAAAATGTAATGATATTTTATTGGTGTTATTTACTTTTATATGCAATTAATTAGCTCTATATGTCAAATTGATATGGTTATAAATGATTGAACATTTGTTACTAATGGGAAAAAAATGAAAAGAAAAATTTTCACATTTGATCTTGGGCCATGACAAAACACTCACTGTGATGGAATGTAGTTAACCAACAAAAAGGATGACATTATTCTGCAGAGTTGCAATCACTATCCCAACAAGGCAATGGCGTGAAGACTCATCTTGTCATGCCATATTGAGAAGTCATATTCTCCAATAGGTTTCCCAAGAGGGGTCATCCCCTACATTAGTAGGAACCATGAATCCATGGTCATCCCCCAGGTTTAAGGCTACTTGGCTTCAGTTGTCATACCATATCCAATTATATAAAACATATATGCCTCAAAGTTATTATTACAATCTCTTGTACTAAGGTAGTCCATGGCTTGCGATCACTTTTGCTCAGGAGGAATTGTCTTTCGCTATTAGGGGTCTTAATCTTGTCTCAATGGACTTGCCACAAAATCTAGAGGATTTGTCTCTATAGTCTCGTTGTATACACAAGGCCCTGAGAACTCACCCAACACACTCATCCATGCATATTTGTATAGAGAACTTGCCTCGAGATCGAGAGCCCTACTATAAGGGAGATATATGTGAATGACAATCAGCTAGGCCACATGTTTATCGTAATCTTCAATAAGTCAAGCATGTATATTGTACTTTATATTATTTTTTACTTGTATTAGATATAGCGTTTCTTATAGCTTGCTAAGCCTTATAAATAATCAATGAATATGCATATTTGGTCTCTTTGTAAATCTTTTACATCTTTTAACATCCTTGAGACCATAATATCTTCTTAATTTGTCTCCATCAATATTTCATATTATCCTTTCCAATGACACTTGAAACCCTCACATTCCATAGTCACTAAAATTTATATAATCTCCTACTTCCTACATAGAGGTTGCCTCTTAGTAATATTTAGCATTTTCATAAATAATTCAAATCTAAAAATATAAATAGTTTTTTTTTTATGAAAATGTAGAATAATATTCAAATATTTGCAGTTTAATAAAGGATCTAGTTAGGAAATGATGAGTTTAAGGTAGATATGTGAGTAAATAATAATTTATATAATAAGTATTAATGTATGAATAATAGATTTTTTTTTTTTTTTTTTTTTATGGGGTGGGAGACGCTAACCAATTTCTCGACATAACCTTCTAATGAAGCGCACGTTACTGCCACTGCTCCAAGGCCGCCGCCCCAGCCTCGCCCGCCGTTTCAACTGCACCGCTTCTGCCGGCCAGGGCCTGGCTCTGCAACCCGCCACTGTTCACAAAAGCGTCCCTTCGCTTGAAGAGGAGCACCTGCAAACCCTCCTCTCTTCCTCCTCCCCAATTACCGCCTTCAGTCTCCTCCAACTCATCCGCTCCATCCACGACTCATCCGCCGCTCTCCGTATTTTCGACTGGTGCCGCCTCCGTGGCCTCGTAGCCGCCTCCCCCTCCCACGCCTCATTCGCCTTCCAGGCCATCTTCGAGCTCGCTGCCCGCGAGAACAGCGATGACATTCTTCTTCGTCTCAAGAACCTCCTCCTTCGCTCGAACGAGCAAGGCTACGCCCTTACGGCAGACTCGGCCGCTCTCCTTGTCCGCTTATTCTCCGCCGGACGTTCGCCCTCCGACTCCCTCCTGGCCTTCCGCTCCCTCGATCCCTCCCTACGTTGCACGGATCTCTGCAACCATGTCCTCGCTTCTCTCCTCCGGTCCCCGGATCCCAATCACCAGGCTGAAGCACTTTCCCTTCTCCGAGATATGCTAAGCTCCAACTCCCATTGCCCTCCAAATTCCCTCACATGTTCGATTATATTTTTCACTCTATCGCGGGGCAGCCAGCCCGCCAACGATGAGATGCTTCACCTCATCGTTCGAATGGCCAGCTCGAGAGCTTTCACTATCGATACCTACCAGTTCACCAAGGTTGTCGTCGGTCTCTGCCGTGACGGCCGCACGACCAAGGCTTGGGACCTCGTCCATGCCGTCAAGAACTGCGGCGGTGCTGTGGAAGTTCCCGTGTGGAACGCCCTTCTCACCGGACTCTCCAAGGACAGAGATACTCCCAGGATGAAGCTTGTATGCTCTGAGATGGAGACAGCCGGTGTGGCGAACGTGGTCACCTATGGCATAGTTATCAACCATCTCTGCAAATCCCGTAACATCGACCTTGCAATCCAGATGTTCGACAAAATGACGAAGCCGGATTCAGCTGCTGGACCTGATACCGTTATCTTCAACAACGTCATAGACGGGCTTTGTAAGGTGGGGAGGACTTGTGAAGGACTGGCTCTTCTTAACCAGATGAAAATTCATCGTTGCGACCCAAATACCATCACCTTCAACACCCTTATTGACGGGTTCTGCAAAGCAGGGGACATTGATACTGCTCATGAGCTTAATTCTCGAATGGTCGAAGAAGGTATTCCTCCCAACCTCGTCACGCTCAACACTCTCATTTCTGGGATGTGTAGGAATGGCATGGTGAGCAGCGCTTTGAGCTTCTTCCACGAGAAGAAGATGGCCTGGGCCAACGCCAAAGGCAACTCTGTTACTTACTGCACTCTCATCGGAGCTTTCCTCCATGCAAACAATGTGAGCAAAGCGATGGACTTGTTTGATGAAATGATTCGTGAGGGACACTCCCCTGATGCTGTCACGTACTTCACTCTGATATCAGGCCTATCTTCTGCTGGAAAAATGGATGATGCAAGCTCGGTCGCAGCACAGATGAGGAAAGATGGATTCAGACTTGATACAAAGAGCTACAACATCTTGATTTCGGGTTTTGGCAAGAAGAAGAAGCTGGAGAAGGCTTTGAAACTGTTTGAGGAAATGTTTGAAGCTGGAATTAAGCCCGATGTTGTCACCTACAACACTCTGATTGACGCTTATTGCAAGGCTGGGGATTTTTTAATGGCGCAAAATCTGTTGAAGAAAATGATGGATGATAATTGCAAGCCTTCTTTGGTAACTTATGGTACTCTTATCCATGGATTTTGTAAGAATGGTGATCATGATGGAGCTATGAAGATTTTTCAGAGCTTGAAAGACTCACAATTTGAGCCCAACGCAGCAATATACAACGTTCTTATTGATTCCTTTTGCAAATGCGGAGAGATTAGCATGGCGGTTTCTCTTATGGATCATATGCGAAGCAACGGCGTAGCTCCTAATATAATCACTTACAATGCAATTATTAAAGGCCTTTCTGAGAAGAATATGTCTGCAAAGGTTTTTGAGCTGATGGATCAGATGAAAGAGGAGGGTTGCAGCCCCGACTTTAAGACAATGGAGATTCTTGCTGGATGGTTGCCTGCAATTGGTGAGTCAGAGAGACTCAGATGGTTCATAGAGGGGAAAGAGATTGCAGTTTCATGAGCCTTCCCAGATGGTGTCGATATGCGTTTCTGCTGTTGGGGTTGGATACTTGAATTACAAATGATCTCAAGACATGCAACATAGAAAGCTCAAATGGATTTAGGTTGTCAATGTGGACAACTATGGCTTCGTTTGGGACGGCTTTCTTCCTGCTTCTTAAAGTAGTTTTCTAGTTCAAAATTTTTAATTTTTTTACTAGAAAGCTGCTTTAAGAAGCCATCTCAAAACGAAGCCTAATTGAACAAAAGAAGGTTAATTTTACATTTTCTAAGATTTTTTTTTAAGAAATTACTTACATTTATAATTTAACATTAAGGTTTCGTTTGGGATGGCTTTTCTATTTCTTTTTAAAATAATTTTTTTTAATTTTTTTTTTAAAAATAATAAAAAAACCATCCCAAATAAAGTATAAATCAACTATGATATGTAACCTAAACTCACTCCAAAAGAAAAACGCTAAGATTGAACTACTTGTCATATTTCTTACATTAAACTACTTTGTTCCATTCAATTTCATCGGCTTGATCTTTAAAGCTTGTTGTGATAAAAGCTCTCAAATGAATAGAAATAAAGAATGTTCGCAAATACATAAATGAGCTTGCAACAATATTAGTCAGTATCTTCAACCGATATATTGACAGGGATAGCATATTAAACAGAAATTTAATTCAATCTAAAGTTTAGACTTTAGATTATATATATTGGGGATATACCTACATAATACTTAAAACTTACATATTTATATATTTGACACTTAAAATTACTAATTTACACTACCCACACATGAAATCTTATATTTCCTCACATCCCACACTCTGGTTCGTCTTCATGACCAACACACATGCCAGCTCCGGTTCTCCTTCGATTTCCTGCTTGAGAAAGCCCTATGATGCTTGTGAATGCTTATTTTTTTGTGAGAATGCTCTCCTACTCTTCCTTCGTCATTTGATTGTTGTCGTGAGTTTTGAGCGATGCCCTTTTTTTTTTCTTTTGTTTCTTGCCATGAGATATGCATAGAATTTTTATTTTCTACCCTTGTGTTTGCAGATTTTTATTTTAAGTGGTAGTTATGGTGAATATATTTGGGTTACATTTAAATTTGAAAATATTGGAGTGAAGTTACAGATGAAGAAAGAAGAAGATATGAAATATATGTCCATGGCTAATTTTCACGAGTTTTAGGTTACACTACCATGTTAATCCTACTCCGAAAGTTTTTGAGACAAATTCAAGTGATAATGAGGTGATGAAAATGATAGGACAATGTACTGACAGTCGGTAGGTTGAAGTTTAACGTTACAAGAGGATGTAGAGGCTAATATGAACTTGGAAGGTTTAGAGCATTGTTCTAGCATTGACAGAGCTACTAATGTTGCTTCAAACAACATTGACTTTGAAAGCTTAAGCAGTGATCAGCTTATGCAACCAATTAGTGATGATAAAATATTATAAATTGGTGCTTGCTTTCATGATGCTAGCAGCTTCAAGCAGTTCCTACGATCCACTGCAATTACTAATAACTTTTGGGTGAAGATAAAGGCTAGCAATAAGTCTGGAGTTATAGCAACATGTTTGCATCAAGGGTACCATTGGAGAGTGCGTGCATTGCTATGCATACATGATCAGTCCTTTGAAGTTAGGAGGTTAGATGATATGCATTTATGTCCTAGTGTAAACAGAGCTGGAAATAAACTTGCTACATCAAATAGTGTGGCTCTTGAAATATAGGATATTGCGAGGAAAAATCCGGATATACCGTCGTAGCACATTAACAATACTTTGGAGACAAAATATGTAGTTGATGATCATGTCCAAGTTGGAGTGCCCAAAACTCAAAGGCCTAGGGGTTGGCCAAAGAAAAAAAAAAGATTAAAAAAACTTTTAGAGACCAAATCAATAAAACAACGAAGTGAATATAAGTGTCGGAGGTGCGACTTACTTGGCCACCAAAAAATAACTTGCAAGAATCCTATATGAAGATCATTAAGGAATATTGTATTTGGGTGGATTTTGATGAAGCTATTTTTTGGAAGCAATTTTTTAGTCACAGAGAGAACAAGTTATGTAATAGTTTCTTCATAAAGAGAATATGTTATGTAATAGTTTTTTAACACAGATCTATAAAATCGTTTTGCATTATTTCAAAAAGCTCATACAAGAGTTCACATTATAATGACGCTTACAACTCATTGTATTACACATCTGTTTTTTTTTTTTTTTAAAAAAAACTCACATAAGAGTTAACAACTGAAGTACAACAAGAAAAACTAATAACAACTAGATTTGAAACAAATCGTGCTTCACGGACTTCAAATTATCTAAAGTCGTCTTATCTAATGGTCTTGGTATTGGATAATTGCTTATGTTTGATGATGTTTTACTGGCTTCATCAACCCACCTAAGAAAAAAATTGCAATTGTCTTTTGTCATGTTGTGAGGGCAACGATAAAATCTTGGGCCACGATTATCACTCCGCTATATTTTAAATATAACACATTGCAAGTTGCAGTAATAAAAGATTTGTGATATATGCATGGTTGCAGAATTTGTCGATTATTCAAAACTCATTATGTAAAGGGCAATACACGAAGAAATGCAACATTAGAACATTAAATAACAAGGAAATAAACCAAGTGAGTTCAACACAAATGGGAGACTAGAGAAACAACAACTTCAACTAACATCTTATGTGCATGCGTCCAATCAATTATCATCAGACTCATACATAAGCAAGATTCATCTATAGAGATGAGTGAAGACTAGAGAAACAACAAAAAATACGGATTGCTTCTCCTACTGTTGATCCCATGGCCCTCCAATGATCCCACATGATGTAGGTCAAGGTTGCAACATGGATCATCTAGGTAGGGAGTCATCCAACATAAACCACTTCACAAATCGAGCTCTTTTTCATCATTGTCCAGATTTGCATAACACATAAGTATAGAAACACGTCACTGCAACATACTTATAGAAATCTTTCACTACAAATGTAGAAATCCTCCACTGCAACATATTTATAGAAATCATCTATTCTATTGAAAATAACTTTAGTGAAAGAGTTACAAAACTTCTTATTCCCTCACAACTGAAGCATAACACAAAAAGAGGGCGTTATCATAACAAGTATTGCATCCAACTCCCATCTCCGAACCAACAAAAAAAAAAGGCTGAAGCAAAAACTAGTTCTCACCATACAAAGAATGATATAGCTATACAAAATTTTAGGGCATGAATCATATCAAGGCATCACTCAAAACTCACGGGACCAATAGAATGATGAAGGAGCAGGAGTACTAAGGGCACGAGAAATGAGTGTTCACAAGCATCATATAGCTTTCTCACACAGAAAATTGACAAAGAACAAGGCGAAGGAGATGAACATGCGAGCAAATGAGAGTTGGCACGCGTGCAGGTCACGGAAACAGAACGGAGTGCGAGATGTGAGAAAATAATAGATTTCAGATGTGAGTTGTGTAGTTTAAATTAATAATTTTAGGTGTTAAATATGTAAATATGCGTGTTTTAAATGTTATGTAGATAAATCCCTTTTTTTTTCAATAGTAAAGGCATATAATATAAAGCTAGTTTTTTTTACTAGTTGTCCGAGTAAACATCTTCTGCAAGAAAAAAACATTACGTCCTCTAAAATTTGCCAAATTATAAATTTATGCTTTCGAGCTCGAATAAAAATGAACTCGCGGGACAAATTGTATATAGGCTACGGCTCGACCGCATAACATCTGAATAAGCCGTCGATCACCCCGAATCCCGATCCTTGTTGGGGCTAGGGTTTTGTTATACTTCGCTGCTCATCCCTTCCTTGAGCCATGGGGACGCCAGAGACCTCGCGTGAGCCGTGCCCTGATCGAATCCTTGACGACATCGGCGGCGCCTTCGGTATGGGTGCCGTTGGCGGCTCCGCCTTCCACCTCATAAAAGGCATCTACAATTCGCCCAACGGCGAGCGCCTAGCGGGAGGTGTGCAGGCCGTACGCATGAATGCTCCCCGCGTCGGCGGAAGCTTTGCTGTGTGGGGAGGCCTATTCTCAGCCTTTGATTGCACCATGGTTTATGTCCGTCAGAAAGAGGACCCGTGGAACTCCATCATTGCCGGTGCCGCCACCGGTGGCTTTCTATCTATGCGCCAGGGTCCTGCATCCGCTGGAAGAGCAGCAATTTTCGGTGGGATCCTTCTTGCACTCATCGAGGGTGCTGGCATCATGCTCAACAGAGTCCTCAGCTCTCCGCAGAACCTGCCTCCTATGGATGATCCCAATCTGGCGGCGATGATCGCAGCTGGAGGAGGAGCCACATCCCCTCCCGGTTTCCTTCCGCCAGGGCACATGCCACCGGTTGTTGCCCCGTCTATGATGCCGTCTGCTGTGAAGGCAGATGATACCGGTGCTTCTTCTTCTTCCTCTTCTTGGTTTGGAGGCATATTTGGCGGTGGAAAGAAGCAGGATGAAGCAAAGAACAGAGGAGTTGGAGCAAAAACTGAAGTCCTGGAGAGTTTTGATTCGCAAAGTACGCCTATCCCAACGTTTGAGTATAAGTAGAGCTGAAGACGATGAAGGATTAAGGGACTTAGGGTAACTCCGTTCTTTGTGATTTTGTCTTCCGCACAATATTAGATTCTGTCTAAATTTCACGTCGTAGAATTTAATGCAGATTTGATATTCATATAAGGCTTTTCTCGAATCTTTATTATGATAATGTCTGTAAGCTTTATTTATCTGGGGTTTTCTGGCATTTTTGTAAACCAAAGTTTTTAGCTGTTAAGTGATTTATCCTTCTTCATCGCTCCACCCTGTAAACTTATTTAAGAAGTGAAAAGGTGCTGCATCCGCTCGATTACATAAAATTGCTTCTAATGAAGATTTTTGGTGAATGCGTTGTGCTATAGTTTAGCAAGCTAGTGGCTTACGTGTTCATACCATTGACTATATGGAATTAAATCTGCTGGCTTATGTCAATGCCACGTAGAATGTCTGCATCAAAGTTATTATTATGAAATAAATCATTTTAGACTGGCTTTATGTGTCTTGCATTGGCTTGCTTTGGCAATGATTTTTGTTATGCTGAGTTGTGCTGATTTGTTTTGAGTTATCTTGTGCTGTGCTGATTTATATTGAGTTATGTTGTGTTCTTGAGTAAAGTGGATGACAAGTTGGTAATACAACAACAGCATAAAGTCTTTATCCCATTATATGAGGTCAATAACATAATTCATTTTTATCCAATGTGACATCTTAAGATTCAAATATAATAAAAAATGTCATTTATAATACTTTCTAACAAAGTCTTTTTAGATATATCTCTACTCTACCTTTCTTAACATAGGCTAAATCTAATTCATCTACTCTCCTAACCGGGTCATCGGAAGGCTAGCGTTTTATGTGGTCAAAATATCTAAGACAATTGCCACTAGAGATACTCTAACCTTTTCACGTATATACTTGTTTCACATTCTGTCTCTAACATCAAAGTCGCTCATCCACCTGAGCATCCTCATCTATGCAACACTTAACTTAATTTTATGCTTCACATTATGCGCTATAAAGTATTGTAGGTCTCACCATCATCTTATAGAATTTTCCCTTAAGTTTGAGGGGTACTTTTCTATCACACAATAGGCCCGATGCAGTCCTCCACTTCAAGCATCCAACTTGAATTCTACTAATAATATGCTCATCTATTTCTCCATCACTTTGAACAATAGAACCGAGATATTTAAAAATTGTACTCTTTTTATTGACTTGATCGCTCAAAGTAACAATTCCCCCACTAAATCTATTACTACTAAAATTAAACTCCATATATTCAATTTTAGATCTGCTCAAACCAAAACCTTTAGACTCTATGGTTGACCTCCATAATTCAACTTTTCTTTCAGCTCTCTATTTTTATCAACAATAAGAATATCATCATAAAAAAGCATACACCATGGTGCATCTTCTTGCAAATGTATAGTAAAACATCACGACTAAAGAAAAAATATATGAGCTTAAAGTTGATCCTTGATGTAATCAAATTAAAATAGGAAAATACTTGGTCAAACCACATTGTGTTTGAACACAAGTAACAACACCTACATACACATCTTTAATAACTTGAATATAAGCATCATTAACACCTTTATTTTCTAAACTTTTCAAAGCACTTCTCTCGGAACTTTATCATGTGCATACTTTATTATATGCTTTCTCTAAAACAATAAATATCATATGAAGATCCTCCTTATCTCTTTATTCTTCTCCATTAAATTTCTCAATAAATGTATAGCTTCCATAGTACGTGGCATGAATCCAAATTGATTTTGAAAAATAATAGTATCATGTTGTAACCCATGTTCAATAACTCTCTCCCATAGTTTTAAAGTATGACACATTAACTTAACTGTTCTATAATTCACACACTTTTGTGTATAACCCTTATGCTAATGAATGACCTGTTGGTACACTTACAGTTTCAATTTACTTTTTGATGTCCTGTGATAGATGAGGATGGATTTAATATAATACATATATAATAATAAACATAGTTATTTGATCTTTTCAATAGTAAGAATTCAATTTGTGCCCCATCTAAATAATAAAATTATTTTATGTGCCCTTAGAAAAATTTATGACTCCACTGGTGATAGATGAACCAATTTGGTTCAAATTATTGTTATCCTGATGCCAATTTGTTAAAAGATCAAAATAAAAATGATTATTAATTAAAAAATAAAATCAACTACATTTATTTTAAAAATGTGTTTTCTATTGGATAATATGAGTAGGATTAGTAATTTTTTATCATGCATCTATGTACTAAATTAAAATTAAAATACTAATTAATAAATTATAGAGTGCTCTGTGTGTTGATACTAGGCAATTAAACAATAGAGAAAAAGAGTTTTATAACGTCCATTTATTAGAAAAGCACCTGGCATGATGATAAAAAATGTAACACATTACTTTTATGCATTAGAACATGACATGTTTTAGAAACGCATAAACATTTTTTCGATTTTGACACCATGAAGTTTGTTCTAATAACCAGGTCATACCCTAGCATACTGCGACACATGTAGGACACTTCAAACCGTAAAATATGGTGTTAAATTGCAATATTCAAGGTTAAAGTGTAACATTGCTTTTTGATTAGCTGCTTTGCGGATATTAGGTTTGATTATGTCGTTACTGATTACATTTCTAATACTAATCATGATACTTTTTGGCATTTTGCAATTTTATGCTTAGTTTAAACGGGTTTTTATTGTTTTCTTCATATGTATTTATGTATGTTGCATGGATCTGTATATGCATAAATGGCTAGTTGAAATCAATATTAATTTGTTTCTTATTAATTGTGTTTTTTGGTAAATAGCATGTTTTATGATCTATCTTTTAAATTCTTAAAAAACTTTAGAAGTGTTTTTTTGGGTAAGGTTCTTAAATTTCATCAGCAATTACTAATAAAACTATCAATAGTACTTCAATGGTATATTTGTGCCACTTGATTTTCTTCAATTTGGCTTATTTAAGCTAAGGGGTTGTTTGGTAAGAAGTACTAAGATCATATTATATTTCATTTCCAACGTTTTAGCTTTTTTGTTGTTTGGTTTGACATAATAAAAAAATACAAAGTAAAATTTTGAGGGATTTGAAATACCCAAAAATCCCTATTTTCCCTTCATTTGGAAATATCCCGAATCAATTGATCTCTTAATCCCTAGCCTTCACGCCAAACTTGCCTATTTGTGTTGCCTCATTCTTGTCTTCGCCCACTCGAACCCCTCGCCCTTCCCTTCATTTGCTCGCACGGCTTATTCACTCGCACCCCCTCACCTTTGTCTCTTGTAGCTCGGCGCCTTGCCCTCACCCATAGCGCCCTCTTCATTGCCTGCTTGCATTGCGAAGATTGCATTACTCGTGCTATGTCACCTAACATTGCGTAGCTTGTCACTTGCCTTCTTGTTTCTCTGCATTTGTGTGTGTGTGAGAGGCTTTGTGATGTTTTTATTATTTTATATCATGTTATTTGATATGCTTAAATTTATTATACCTAACTATTACATGTTTCCAAGTAACTAGCTAAAAACTATTCATTTCACATTCATTAAACATGCATATTATATGCTTGATCTTTGTTCTATTTATTAAAACTCTTTTATCTTCTAGAAGTTTACTCATTCTAACTTTTCACCCTTTTAAGATGTTGCCTAACTAATCAATCTTATTTTATTTGCAAATAGTATACTCTCAAATACTCATTTTGAATGTCTGTTATAAGTCATAATTAGTTCATAAACATATAGACTTAAAATTTGATTTTTTGATGTACTTCTATCATGAATGAAAGCTCCTTGGAGACTCCATAATTATACTTAATATTGTTCATTGCTACATTATATATGTCTTTAATAACTTCTGGAAATTTTTTTTTCCTTATGAATGCCCAATGTGCCTATCTCATGGAATGTACATGTGTTTCCAAGATAGATAAATGTTATATGGACATCCTTTGTTACTCTGAATATTTTCAATTAATATATTTTTTGCATAAGAATCATATCTATATTAGATTGTCATGTCACGAAATCAAATTGGCTCTTGTATATTGATAGTTTCTTTCCAAGTCTATGTTTTGTTACTCACGTATATCTTGATTGTATGACTCATTTATTTATTTGTTTTCAAAATCATAATTGTAGTCCTGAAAATTTGTTAAATGATTGAATGCTAATGTCAAAATATTTCTTCAATTATTTAGTATTTCATACTTTATAATATTATTTCATTAAAAAGTTTTATTAATCAGATTATTTTCATACCTATTATATTTCTTTAAATTTCTAAATATGTATCTTTTATTTATCTAAAGTTTCAACCTTAATTTTTTTGAACCAATTTGGAGGGTATATGATTTTGTTCATTTAATTATACTAGAAGAAATTCCTGAAATTCTCGTATAATTTCTGAGTCTTTTTTCCTTCACGCCTTTGGAATTGGCTAAGATATTGTTATTTTTATTAGTTAATACATCAAACTAGATCAAAGTCTATAGTTCTCTTTTTTTCTTACCTTTGTTATTTGTTTATCCCGTTTCCTCCTTTAATATTTAGCTTATTATATAAGTCATTATGAGTCATTTTTAATTTTTCTAACAACAATAACTACTACAACATCAAGCCTTTGTCCTACTACGTGGGGTCAGCTACATGAATCTTTTTTCTTTAAATGATTCATGCCCTGATTATTCGACAAGTTTTACGCTGGCTGTTGACTATCTAATGCAACTCTCCATTTTTCTCATCCAAGATTTGGGACCTGACAACGACAGTTGTATTTTTCTAACAAACGGAAGAAAAAAAAACTAAATTTTCACTCATGATTTTCGGAACTCTTGCACAGAAGGAAAGAGGTGAAACTATTACCTTATCTCCTCCTCTCATTTTTAAAGTGCTGGATGTGCTCCCATGCTGGGTTGCATTGTTCTTGTATTTATGGCTGAAATTAAATTTTACATAGGGCTTTGCATTTTGGCTGTAGCCTTCTGCTGCTGCAAGGTTTTTGTGAAACCAGCAGACGCATTCAAGTGTTATACAACCCCCCACCGTAGAAATTATTCAGCCTTTATGACACGATAATTTAGTCTCTGGGGTAGATTCTTTACTCGCAGGAAATAAAATGTGGTTTTGTAGAGTGGCCTTCTATTTTTGGTTCCAGTGACTTGTTTGATTCTATAGCTCGATATGTAAGGGGAACCTTTTATTGGAAATGAAAAATCTCTTTTCTAACTGGTGAAGTACAGTGGTTTTAGCCAATAACAAAATCTCTTCTTGCTTATGGCTGTTTCGTGGCACTGAAAAAGTTTCAGGCCAAGTGATTCATTGAAGTAGTGGGATTTTCACAATTTCATTTGTTGAAAATTGCTTTTAGAGAGTTTATGAGGTAGCTTTTTAGGCATTGTTGAACTACCGGGGCATTCTGGATATAATAAGCCTTGTCTGTCTATTAGAAGGAAACTCTAACATCCAGCAGGGTCGGATATTTTTTTTTCCGACGGACTTGCTTATTCTTAGCATGATCATATGAAGAGTTGTTATTCGGATGTGAATTCTTGGCTTTCTATCATCATCATGTGAGAGATGAAACACTTGCCTTTGATGTTTTTAATTGTGGCTAATTCTCAGCCCGATTTGTTATAAAGTAAGATAGAAAGTAGGATACTCTGGGTTTTCTTTTTTCCTTCATCTATTCTATTAACTAGTATGGTCATGGTGGAAATATGTCTCGTGCTTTGCATTTTGTTCTGTGCTATCGAAACTCCATTGATTGTACTCTTTGCAGCTCTATTTTCTGATTCAAGCTGATGATTTGGTGCCGGAAGAAAATTGTTTACAGCCTTGCCTTCTACTAAGCTTCCTCTTGCTCTCTGAGGTGACTTTGGTTGCATGCTGTACTGAAGAATAAGTTATATGTTGATATTATAAATATCTTATGGCGATGGAGCTTTGAAAAACCCCAATTTGTGTTAGTTTAAGCTTTAATGTATCACTTTTTCGAATGGCCAAAAACACCAATGGACTTTTCTTTGCCTAACAAATGAAAGAGGGCAAAGCCATATCAGATAGAAAACTTAGCTCGCTGCAATTTTATGATTATTATTTGAATAATTTGGTTTGGTTCCATCAATATGGCTTATGAATTGAACCAGTAGTGTTCAGTCTCTGATGTCTGCAAGAACATTAGGAACAATTGTGGCGACATCTTTTTTAAAAAAAGTAATTAAATTTATTTCAAATGGTTTTATTGATTTGAAACAGCTTAAAGCAGATCTACACAGTAAAAGTTAGGCTTTGTTTGTGATCATTTTTTTACTGTTTTTTAAAGAAACAGTTTTTAAGAAATAATTTTTGTATTCAAAAGTTGATCAAATGAAGCCTTATTGGCATATTATTTGATTTTATGAAAATAGTGAAAATAAAGTGCTAAAAAATTATTTTGAGTGAAGCCTAAATTTCAAAACGTGCTGCATGCTTCTAGTTGAGAATTTTCGCTTGATAAATTATAGAGTTAGCAATTTGGTAAAGAAGATAATATATTTAGCATTTGCTTTGTCTATTTTCATCCCAATCAAACATAGTTTTAAGTAGGTGTGTCAATATTTGACATAGATCTGAAAATTTCAAGTTAGGGTGGGTCAATCTGAATATGAAACGGGTTGTGTTCGGGTTTAACATCTCAACCCGTTTAAAAATTGGGTCAGATTTGGGTTGATCCTTTGATCCGAAATTGATCTGTTTTGACTCAAAAATCTGTTTTGACCTGACAACTCGAGATTGACCCATTTTAACCTGTTTTGACTTGAAAAGCGGAGATTGATCCGTTTTTGGACTTGAAAAATAACTTTTTTTTTATTGACACTAGATCATTCGTGTCTTGTCGGGTTGACCTGAACCCGAATTGGGTCGGTTTCGGGTCTGGAAAATCAATCTGTTTTCAAAAACGGGTCGTGTTCGGTTTGACTTGAATAGTGCCGAGTTGGTTTCGGTTTTGACACGAACCTGACTCGTGACTTGAAATTGACACCCCTAGTTTTAAGTTAAGCATTCCAAATTAATTTAGCTTTAATTGTCTCTGGCTTGGATGCGCATATAGCATTTCATTTATAGACTCTCAACATTACCAAAAGAAAAAAAATAAAAGTCGTTCCTTTTTTATTTTGAGGAAATAATTAATTTTGTATGATAAAAATATGATGATAGTATACCTTGTATGTATAACATGTCATATAAATGAATATGATCCTTGCATTATCGTAGCTTGGCTTCGATCCTTGAATTATTGTTGACCGACTAGGATCCTCATACAATCGTTGCTTGACTACAATTCCTGGATCATTACCCAATTCCGATCATCGAACAACCATTACTCAATTACAATCATTTGACCACCGTCGCTAGACTACGGTCCTTTGACCACTGGTGCCCCACTACGTCCTTCAATTATTGTTGCTTGACTATGACCCTCATGTGATGCCTTAGGATCGAATGAAAATATTGGTCTTAAGTCTATAATTAATTAACTCATCCCTCAATAATCACAATTAGAGCTACTAAAATTTTATGTAAAAGCAGCATAATCAACTTGCATTTCATCACTTGTATATCACTCACTTTTCCCAACGATTTCATACAAAGGTTCAAAATTTATTAATGCATAGTTCAGAACATTTCTTAAATTTAATTCATTGAAGCATTAACAAATGGAATGCAATGATTATAATCTACATGTCCACATGTTTGTTTAAAATTTATTAATGCATAGTTCGAACTTGCCCAACAGACGAATATTGAGTTTTGGCCTCTGAATTCTCTCTCCTCTTTCTCTTTCCTTTCCTCCTATCTTCTTCTCTGGAAAGGCTAGGTGGAATGGAAAAGGCTTAATGGTTTTAGATATTTTTGGTACATCCTCAAAATTTTTCTTGATCGGGCACGAATCTCTAGGGAAAATCAAGTTCGAAACTTCAAAAATTAAATTGGAGATCATATGAACTTTGATTTCAACAAACTTATAGTCAAACTGAATGTCTCGAAAATACGAACCCAACAACACCAAATCAACCCAATCCAAGCCCAAATGGGTCCAAATCAAAGGGTTTGAAGCGCTGTTAGAAGGTTCGAACCACAATTCAGATTATCAAATAGTTTTCAAACATGACATGCTTATAGACGAATTGAGTGGCTCAACGAAACAAATCCAACGAGCACAAGATCACAGAATTTCGACATCAGTATGACCTTTAAATGTCTAGCGAACGATCCACGATCAAGGGATTCAATATCGACCATTCATTTAAATGACTCCCCATTTTCCCTTGGGCCTCCTCCTATTTACGGGCCATGTCACTTTAGGAAATTTATAAATAGACTCCTCATCCCTCTTGAAAGGGGACCACAAGAAAGAGGACAAGAGAGAGATCAGAGATCGCTCTTGCCTAAAGAGATCACTCTTGCCTCTTCGCTCCTCCTAGACCACTGCCCGGTGTTTCGCCATACCATAACTTGACGCTCGGAGTTCCACCGTGCCATCACCTGACGCCCGAAGTGTGAAAGCCATTTTCCTTCTAGGATCGTCCAGGACGAAGTTGGATCGTCCTGGGACGATCGGTACAGGTTGTGAAGAAAATTCTGGCTGGAAGGTTCGTCTCAGGACGAACTGAGGTTCGTTCGTACGAAATTTTTCCAGAGAGCAACTCGTCCAGGTACGATAATAATTTTGTCTGTACGAAATTCGTCCAGAGGGCAAATCGTCCCGGGACGATCTGCATGGATATATGGAAATGAGATCTTTTGAAGAGAGAGAAAAGCTCAGGAGAGAGAAAATTGAAGGAAAAAGAAGAAAAAAGTGATTTTTGGGCGACTTCTGTTCGTTTTCGTCCGTAGCTGCAGTTGATAAAGTTGACCGACTCGAGGTAAGGCACATTCCGCCTTTCTCAATTTTTAGAAATGGGGATTTTGATGACTTTTCTGCTTCGAATTTTATTTCCGTTAGCGAATAATTGATTTCGTTTAGTACTGATGAACTTTTTATCGCGTAACTTTTGGTATGTTTCTGACATGATAATTGTGCACGTTTTGCGTATTTTATGGAATATTTTTACCGGGTATTTTGAATTCTGTGAAGTTTTGATCGAATAACAATTTATCTGGATGTCTGAATTTATTGTCTCAGTACAATGAAAGTCTTAGAATGATGTTGTGTACTATATGTGGTAATTTGGTAAATTTCTAAATCTGTGAATTTTGTGAAAATTCCGTATATTGCCGTTATGCTGCTGACGATTTTCTAACGTAATCCGATTTTCTGATTTGAATGTTTTGATGTGGTGTGATATCAGAAGGGAGTTATAAGGGACCAGAATCCTTTGAGATTCTGTCTGTGTCAGAGAAATCTGAAAATAGTCTTAAAATTCTGTATATCTGTTCTGTTATGGTGCTATAAGCACAAAGGGAGACATAAGGGGCCAGAATCTGAGATTCTGTCAGTGTCTGGGAAGGGAGGCATAAGGGGCCAGAATCCGTCGAGATTCTGTCAGAGTCAGAGATATATGATATGTGATATGTGATATTTGAAATGTGATTTTATCTGATTTGAATTCTGATTTGTACGATCTGATATGTTCTGTGATTTGAAAGTTTTATAAGTTTTATAAGATCTGTTCTGCACTCTGATTTGAATTTATGTATCTGTGATTTGATTTCTATTTGATCAAGTATCTGTTCTGTTTGTCATGCAATTTTTGTACGATTGTTTGAATTTATGTACGGCTATTTGAATAACTACTTATGATGTGTTTTTTGATGTGAATTTCTGAAGATTTTGATTGGTAAGTGTAGTCTTGCTGAGCTGTTAGCTCATTCTTATTTTCTGCGTGGCTTTCAGGTTCTGGGAAAGGGAAGGAAGTCTTGGACTAGAAGTTCTGTGTCTGTTCAGTGATTAGTTATTTTGTACTTTTGATTTTTGTACAGTCATGACTTTTCTGTTATATTCTTTCTGTATGTAAGCCATGAACTGTATTGTACATGATTATTTTGATAAAAGAAATATAGATGAACTGTTTTGTATATTTGGAAGTCTATAGCAGCTTTGTGTTTCTGTTTGTTTTTACATTTGGAAGAAAGTTCTGAAGCAAGTCCCAAAACTAGATCCTGGATTTCAAGTTTCAAGTTCCGTCGCGACCTGATGCGAGCGGGATTCGTTCCGGTCGGGTTGGGTTGTGACACGAAGTTCCACTGGACCATCATATGATGCCAGTGTTTCGCCGGACCACCAGTTGACGCTCGGAGTTCCACCGGACTACCACATGACGACCGGTGTCTATCAGACCACCATTTAACGCCGGTGTTCTCCCGGACCACCACATGACGCTCGAAGTTCCACAGGGCCACCACCTGACTCACAGAGTTTTGCCGGACCACCACTTGATGCCGGTGTTCCGTTGGGCCACCACCTGACGCATGGAGTTCCATCTAACCATTAGGTGATGTCAGTGTTCCACCGGGCCACCACCTGACGCTCGGAGTTCCCATGGACCACCACCTGTCACTGGTGCTCCGTCGGACCATGGCCTAACACCAGAGTCTCGTCGAACTACCGCCTTATGATAATAGTTTTTTTGACCCCTATATCGTGCCGACTATAATCCTTTCAACCTCGTCACCTACTACGGTCCTTACGACCTCCACCGCTAGACAACGCCTTTCTGACCCTGTCTCATGCCAACTATGGTCCTTCGAACCTCAATCGCCTACTACGGTCCTTCCGAACTTAATCGCTAGAAAACAGTCTTTATGATCCATGTCTCATACCGACTACTATCCTTCTAACCTCCGTCGACTGCCGACTATGGTCATGCCTACTAAACGAACATATCAATACTGATTCTTCCAATTTCTACCATGTAATGCATTTAATGTGATGTATATATGTTATATCAAGCCAAGATCTTCCCTTCAATGAAAGGCCTCATTTGTAATCAATTGCAAATAATAGTGGATTCATCAAACTGGGCAAGGCCTTGTAGTTTTCCCCCATTTATAGGGGTTTCCATGTAAAATCTCTGGTGTCTCTTATGAATGCTACACTCTTTCTCTTTATATCTGATTGCATGTTGGATTTTCATA